CCTGCACCGATATATATATATTCGGTAGAAAATAAAAACAAAACTGTCAATATTTTATATATATATATATATATATATATATATATATATATATATATATAAATGTTGACAGTTTTGTTTTTATTTTAAACAGTGTCTATTGAGTCTGTCGGCCTGCACCGATATATATATATATTCGGTAGAAAATAAAAAACAAAACTGTCCAACATTTGTATATATATATATATATATATATATATATATATATATATATATATATATATATATATATATTTTATTATGCTGTTTCTCGATCTAAGCTTTTGGTACACATGAGTCATCGTCAGAGTGGTTATATGGACATTACAACAGAAATGTCCAGCCTCAAAGATGACATCCTGTTACGTTTACATAGAAGTTTGCTATGTGTTTGATAACGGTCGCGGAATAACAGACTCAGGTCGTAAATTCGTAATACGATTCTATGACGTTATACATAACCACGTGAGAGAAAGAAATATTATCAACAGATCCATATGTCTAGATGCATTCTAATATGTTGTGACTGGTTTGAAATGTAATTTTGTTGAGTGTGGGTTGCTTTGCTTTAATGTAGATGGCCTCCAATATTTTAAGGTTCTTTTTAATGTGTGTATGTGTGAGTATTGTTATCAACTAATATCTGTCTAATATATATATATGGTTATGTTTTTTTAAGAAATGTTATTTAATGGAACTAAGATCAGAAAAGTGACAGGTAAGTCTACGGGAGAGCGTGGTTGTAGTATAACCAATATATGTAGTCAGTTTATTATTAGTATCAGAGATACAATCTCTGAACCGGCATGTAAATTGATACACTATTTTTTATTATTGTATTTTTTTTTGTAGAGGATTTAGTTGTGTAGTTGTAGGTTTATTGGAGACCATGATATATATATATATATATATATATATATATATATATATATATAATGCTTAAACGATATTTTAAATTGATACTCATATTCGAGTAAATGCTTCGTTCATTTAATTAAAAAGTATATTTATTTAATTACATTTATCGGTCTGAATATTCGAGGAATCCTGTTAAAAAATATGCATCCTCCGGCAGGATTCGAACCTGCATCCCTTATGGGAAACCGTCATTAGATCGGACATACTTAACCGATTTGGCTACTTAGGACTTCCGCTTAAACAAAGCCCGAAATAGTGCTTTTGAAAACGCACATTTTCTGCAAATTCTCGAAACGTATATATCTGCCTGAGGGCGCATATTTTCTTACAACCTAGGTACTAAGCAGGCTCGTCGTTACTTAACTTCGCTGATTGTACTCGAACCGATGTTTTAACGTGATATGGTTGTAAGCCATTCCATTTTGTCATCTATCTATCTATCTATCTATCTATTTATCTATCACTGCTTCCTCAGGTCGAGGGTTTAAAATAGCTTCGAACCAGTGAAGCTTGTAGATCTCAGCGAGGACCATCCTTCTTTGAACCTCGAAGACTGGCGCTACACAATCACAAACAAAGAACTGTACAAACAACAGATACCACATCACTTGAGGACGTTCAAAAGCCGGCGTAAGGAAAATGGATAGCGCATGTATCTTGAAGAGGAATTAATGACATAATCAAGATGTTGACGTTCCACAGTACTTCAAACAAAAGGTTAGGGAGGAAACCCTCAATCTGTTAAAAAGGAATAAAGCTGCCGACACTTGACTTTGAACGTAGATCGCCAGTGAGTAAACACAGGCGATCCCATTATTGAATTAAGTGGATCACGTGACCATAGAGGAAACGCATAAGTAGGAAATCGAGTGATGTCTAATAGATCTACTAATTCTCCTCTATCCTCTATTACTATACGGAGCGCTATTCTCTACTCTGTTCACTATTCTATTTCTCTATTCGGGTCACTATACGGATTACTGTTCGAGCGAGTATTATCTGGCAAGTACTATTATAGCGAGTGTTATTCGAAGGCGTGTGACACCAGCATTGTTCAACGGCGTTACTATAGTTGTATCTGCGATTACAAAGTCACTACTACAAGGAGCATTACGAAAGTGGTAACGAGTGTTCGCTGACATAACAAAGCAATAAACACTGAAAAGAGTAACAAGATTTAGTGGACTTGAGGAAAACATATTTTAATAGAAAGATTTTTTGAATTTCAACCGTATGTAGTCCTGGCTCTTGGCTCAATGTTTACCGAATGTTTCCTTATAAGGAAACGGCTAATATTATCATTGACATTATCTTGTAATTGCTTTAATTTCAAAATATCGCAACTCACTAATAAACGAAATATATTGTAAAGTTTCAGAACCTGGTAGATGTATCCAGTTGGGTATGACAAGCATATCTTAAAACATGATAAAATCACCCATTAGACAAAGTGATGTCGCTGACATATAAGTATTGATCAAAATATGAAAAAAAATGCTGGGGAACCGGGTGGTAGGTCTAACGATGTTCCAACCCTGAATCCATATCAGACACCAAGTTTAAGAGATTTCTTTCTTTCTTTCTTTCGTTTCATTTCTATTTGTTTTTCATTGTATTTTTTCTTCATTCTTTTCTTTCTAACAATTTCCTTTAAGTCTTTCCTTAATTTCGTTCATTAGTTTATTCTTTTTAACTTCTCTCATTTAAAGTTATCACTTTCCTTCCATTTTCTCTTCCTCGATTATTCTTTCTTTCTTTTTCTTTCTTTCTTTCTTTTCATTTCTCTTTGTCTTCTTTCTTTTTCATTTTATTTTTCTTCATTCTTTTCTTTCTAACAATTAATTCCCTTTAAGTCTTTCCTTAATTTCTTTCATTAGTTAATTTTTTTTTAAATCCTCCCACTTATTACTTTCCATCCATTTACTCTTCTTCGATTTTCTTTCCTTCTTTCTTTCTTTCTTTCTTTCTTTCTTTCTTTCTTTAAATTTATTATTTATTTTATTTTCCCTCTCCGATATTTATTTATTTATTTATTTATTTATTTAATTCAGCAGCAAAATTCCGATAATTTTGCTTCATTTCCTTTCTTTTTAATTATACCCCCTCTTCTTCATTTTTCTTTTATTCTTTCTTTTCTATCAGATTTCTATCAAGTCTCCCCTTCCTTTTCATTCTTTAATTTATTCCTTCTTTCACTTCTCTTATTTGCTTCTTTCTTTGAGTCTCTTCTTTCGCTCCGTATTTTTCTGATCTGTTTTTTCTTTGGTTTTTTCTTTCTTCTTTTCTTTCTTCTTTCTCTCCTCCGATCCATCTTTCTTTCTTTCTTTCTTTCTTTCTTTCTTTCTTTCTTTCTTTCTTTCTAAAAAAACTGCTCTTCAGGTGGACTTTAAGCTATCTCCCGTGGAGGGATTTTGTACGTAAAACTTATAAGAATTTAGAAATAATGAAATTATTTTATCTTTATTCGACACTATAATTCGACATAATCTTTCTTCGCATACGCAACCGTAGTTCGTTTATATTTATTCTGCTGCGTAATTTTTGTTTTCATTTAAAATCACCATTCTTTATGATTCCCTCACATAAAGTCACTGTTAAAAGACATTAGGGAAACCGAACTATATATATTATATATATATATATATATATATATATATATATATATATATATATATATATATTATTACGTCACAGTACACGTGCTAGAAAAAAAGAAAACAAAACAAACATGATCAACGTACCGTGTCCCGCTTTAGTCTCGTAAGTTTAATGAGACGATATCAATTGCAATTGCGACGAAAATCGAAATTAAAGTTAAACAGATAAAAAAAGAATAGTTTTTGTTTAATCTTTCCCTCTGTTTGATATTTAAATTTAACTTTAAAGGTATTTATTTAATTTTTAATCGCGTTTAACTACAGTACTTACTACCTGTTACTTCAGGTTGTTTATGATTCGCCGAAATCGAAAAACGGATGGACGCACGAACGGACGGACATACATACGCTGCGTTTTATGTATATAGATTTCTTTTTGATCTTTACTTTATCTTTTTTTATTTTTAAATCTATTTTTCCTTATTTTTATCGATTTCTTTTTCTTTTTTTCTAATAGAATTCAAAAAAGGCTGTTTTCTTGCCTTTCTGTTATAGAGTAGTTTCACAGTGGAGGCTTGTATTTCACTAAGTCGGTCCTAAAAAGGTTCGACGTACAAAACGTTAGGAACTTGAAATAATAGTTAATGACGCAGCAATCTAGTTGTGGTGGTTGATACTTTAATGTCCGATATTGACTGACTCACACAACTCACTGAGCTCGCTGGCGACTGCTACTACTACTACTACTACTTATTATATGTGGGATAGTCTATTAACAATAGAACAGGTATGTTCCGGTATAACACTTTCCTCTTACTTATGCTAACAACTCTTTTCTTTCGTCCGTCTTGAAAAAGTATATTTAATGTAGAGGAGAATGACTTTATGAAATACTACTACTACTACTACTAGTAGTAGTAGTAGTAGTAATAATAAAAATAATAACGATAATGATGATGATGGTGATGATGATGACAGGGGAATAGGACCGGCGTAACGTAGGAAGCACAAGACGAAGGAAGAAACAATAGGAAAGCCACCCAATTCAAACCTGCGTTTTCCTATTGCCATGCAGCGACCAATTTGTAAAGGGACGGGCTTCCGAATTTTCGACATTGTCCGGTGACTATGGCGGCCGAGTACGGAACAAACCGAACAATACCGAAGAATGTCAATGAACAATAGAGAAGTCGACAGGTGAGGCCAGCGTAAAAGTAACGATTGTCCTCACATTTCCAAATCCGTCCCAGTCCCCACCGCGTTAAACGACAACAAAAATAATAACGGCTTGACACGTTGCGGTAAGCTGGAGTGGTTACAAAAGAAAACAAATAATGCCAATGGCATAAGGAAGTCTGTCCCCACTTAATCTAGTGGGGAGTGGCTGAGGTGTCGACACCTTTTCATGGAGAAAACGAACAGGTAAAAGCTCCGGTTAGTTTTGAATGGAAGACATTACACAAAATAATGGACGATCCACTTATCATTATTACCACTGCGTCGTGTACCCATAAACCCTTATCTCGTTCAATTTTTAATACATCATTAATTCTTCAATTATTTACTCAGGCATTTTCTTTCTTTCTTTCCTTTCTTTTTTCGTCTCTTTCCCTAACTCAATTCCACGTACTCTTTTTCTTTCTTTCTTTCTTTCTTTCTTTCTTTCCTTTCTTTCCTTTCTTTTTTCGTCTCTTTCCCTAACTCAATTCAACGTACTCTTTTTCTTTCTTTCTTTCTTTCTTTCTTTCTTTCTTTCTTTCTTTCTTTCTTACAATCATAGGATGACTTCTTTTTCTAGTAAGACATTATTTCTCACTTTTACTTCATCTATCCATCCTTTTCTTTTTTTTCTTTCGCTCGTTTTCTTTCTTTCTTTTCTTTCTTTCTTTCTTTCTTTCTTTCTTTCTTATCAACATTTATTTTTCCTTCTTTTATTCTTCTTTCTTTCCTGCCTTTTTTCTTCCTTATAATTGTGATTTTTCTTTTTTTCCGAAACCGTTTTTATCTTTTTCTTCAGTTTCCTACACCCAATTTCTTTCTTTCTTTCTTTCTTTCTTTCTTTCTTTCTTTCTTTCTTTCTTTCCGTCAGTCATCAGATTTCTTCTTTCTTTCAGTAACACATTTATTTCTCTCTTTTTCTTCATCTATCCATCCTTTTCTTTTTTTCTTTCGCTCTCTCTATTTCTTTCATTCTTTCCTTCGGTTTCTTTCTTTTTTTCTTTCTTTTTTTCTTTCTTTTTTATATTCATTTCTTTCTTATGTTCATATTATATAATAAAGTAACGACTAAGAAATAGTCTCATCTGTGGAAAGTGTCTCTTTTTGGAAACCTGGATTATTTTATATCCTCTTGATCAGTAATCCAAACAAAATTAATCACAAATAACTAACTCTATACAAAAGCAGATATCAAGTATGAGAGCCGGGCAAGCAAAATTATTAATTATTTTTTGAGACGCTAGAATCATTCATAGTTGAAATTACATTAAAATATATTTTCATTATGTCTAATAAGTTATTTTAACTACAGATGGGGTTACAGTTTACATATAATAAAACGTTTGAATTTTTTAAGATAGCTAACAAAAATCTTCTTAGCTACTTTTTATTTATAGGAGTAGAGAGGTTCGCCTACCGTCCTGTTCACACTTCTCTCTGGTCTTTTGAACAGGGAGTTTATTCCTTTGTTTCCTGTTTAGGATTCGGTTTCCGGTTCCTTCTAAATTTTACTTCAACTCCACATTCCTTGTCCTTTCCTACGCTAATATAGCTTCATAAAAGGACCTTCTACCTTGAGTGCTTCATAGGCCTTGTATTGAATGAACATTAGTAATATATATATACACACACACACTCACACACACACACACACAGACACATATATATATTGGGAAATTTACACAAACATCAGATAATTGTCGGATTTAAAAAAAAATTCAGAACTTATTCACAAATGAATGAAATTATTTTTGAATTATTTTTTTAGAATATCTTGGTAAAAAAAATATTTTTTTTTTTTTTAAATATGACACCCACCACTTACTTAATTTCCTAAAATTTCGAGAAATTAACTTTTCAGCCGAAATTTTTTTCATTAATTAAAAGCAGACTCCTTGGAGAATGTAAATCATCAGTTTTTATTTTCAAACTAATACTTATTTTCCGAAAATATGCTCCGAAGTGTAAAATAAAAAATGCGGTAAAACTATAAAATACACCAGAGTATTTTGCTTACTAAGAATGGTAAATTTAATCCTTGCTCACCGAAACGCACCTCTGTGGCTCAATCAGTAAAAGCACGTCAGTCTATAAGACGGTTCCATATAGGATACAGGTTCGATTCCTGTCGGAAGACGCATATTTTCTATGAAAATTTTTCGGACATTCAGGCCGGTAAATGTTGTTTAATACTGTTTATTATAAACAGAGCATTTACTTAAATATTTGTATCTATAAAAAGAACGTATAAACATAAAAAAATGTCTCAAAAATAATTGTTGGACTTTGTCCATTTCATATATGTGTGACGTCATTTGTTTACATTTGATACGCCATGAGCAGATATGAATGTACACTGAGAGATTCAAGGAAGAATGAAGTTTAAAGACAGTAAATTCGACCTTGCTAACCGAACGCTCCTCTGTGGCCAAATCGGTTAAAGGCACGTCAAGCTAAATGACGGTTTCGTAGAGGTTCGATTCCTGTCGGAGGACGAATATTTTGTATGAAAATTTCTCGGACATTCAAGCCGGTAAATGTTGTTTAATACTGTTTATTATAAACAAAACATTTACTTAAATATTTGTATCTATAAAAAGAATGTATAAACATAAAAAAATGTCTTAAAAATAATTGTTGAACTTTATCCATTTCATAATATGTATTGGTGGTCAACAAATAAAGCAAAACAATACCAGATATGGTAAAATCAAAAATTCTAGGTTTAATTAACTCGTATTCAGATTTTGCTTGAACAAATCGAGTCTAAAGTGCACAAAATTCAAAATATTTTAATTTATTTTTTTTGGGGGGGGGTAAGGAGGGACGACCGGATGAAATCGAGTTTTTTTTAATAACTTGTCTTCCTAAATGTCCAATGGCGAAGAGCATGCTTCTGTAGAATATCGTAACGATACGATTTCGAGCTATAAGTTTTTATTCCTATTTTTAAAGCTATGGGTTAAATAGTAAGACTTGTATCAGTAAATCATTATTATCGCAAAAAATCTTACAATCCCACAATATTTTCTGGTTTTACTGAAACCTGACAAAAGGTTGATAAACCGTAAAAAAACAATCAATCAGGTAATATTATCTGGCTCTAAGGGTGCATTAAAAGTTTTACACTACGGTTCCCTTTGAAATGATCCTGATAGGGCAATTAACAATTATCAGCCGGTCGTTTGTTTTGTCAAGGGCGACAAGTCTAACGTATGCCTGAGATACTTCTCCCTTTCATTTCTTTTATTCTCTTTCAGAACTGATAATAAATAAACAAAAGCACACGATCATGTGAGTTCGATTTCAAGTTAAAATTCAAGATTTCCAATGCTGATTTTCAAGGCAGACAAGCAGATATTACCCACTTCAATATTAGCGCAAGATTACCCTCTGCTCTTTATACGTACGCATTTGACACCGAGTCTTATCAAATTTAGGCAGCTGCATGTACCCCAATGAGGATAACGATATGTGTACATTGGCGCAATAAGCTGTTTCTACTTCTCAATGTCTTCTTTATTCGTGCGTATCGTCACACTACTGATCTTGTTTAATTTCTGCTGATCTTCAAGGCAAAGCAGGCTCTGCTTGCCTTGAAGATCTCCCCAGATCTTGAGGCTCCCCCAGTTAGAAGATTGGCGTAAGACAATCTTTAGCCTTGTGCAGGGGCAAGCTAAGCTTAGTCAATATGAGGAAGAAAAGACAAGTTAATTTAGTTCGGCGGGAAATAAGCGGAGATTGCTAACGCTCTTTCGTTTGCAGTCCGATGTAAAATTGGTAATATCCATGTCACACGTGTTAGCTGACAGATCGAGTGGCTTTTGAGTATTGGAGAGAAAAAAAAAATAGAAAAAAAATAAAAAATTAAAAAAAATAATAAAAAAAAAACGGAAAAAGTAAAAGTTATATGATTGCCGGTTGAGATAGATGTTAAATTTCACTTCTCATATCCATTTTCAGAACTAGAAAAAAAAAATGGAGGCATATGACAACACGTGTTGAACGGAAGTTATACATGAAAAAAAAATTAAAGAACTCAACATATTCTTATAGTTTGGTCGTAATGTTTCGTTACTTTTTTCCTGATTACTTTTTAAACGAAAAGCAAAATAATATTTTTTTTTGTTTTTGGCTGTAAGTGAAATCTCAATTTCACAAGGTTAAAAAGTAACATATGGTCTTGTTTTTAATCTGGGTAACAAATATAATGGCTTAATCTCTATATATAAAGTTGTAGCCTATGTCTGTCTGTTATCGAACTCCTAGGTTTTTGGCAATAGGCCCCCATAACCATATATATTATGAAGCTACATTACCCGGGTTACTTGGACAAGTATATTTCATTTTTGATTAAAGGTGGTCACGAGGTGGGGGCACAAAAATATATATAAATATATATTATAATGATATAAATTAAATTTAAATTTGAATAAAGGAATGACTTCTATGGTACTTCGATAAATATATTTTATTTTGATCAAAGAGGGCCCCCGAGGGGAACCTCTCCCCCAGAAAATTTTTTCTCTTTGATTTAAATTAAATTTAAATTTGAACAAGGGAATGATTCCTATCAACAATATAGAAGGAGAAAGCCAGAAGATGGAGGTTACATCGGCAACATCATTTTGATCAAAAAAGGTCCGGGGGAGCACATATCCCACACTGATTTTTTTTTCCCTTTGATAAAACAAGTGAATAATTCCTAGGGTACTTGGATAAATATATTTCATTTTGATCAAACGGGTCCTTGGAGGTCACCATTTCCCCCTTGGATTTACATTAAATTTAAATTTGAACAAGGAAATGACTCCGTAATATCGAAGGAGAAAACCAGATGATGGAGTTCACATCGGCAAGATCAAGGTGAGACAATATGGACGTCAAGTTGAGCAAGAACTCACCAATCAGTGGGTAGTGCCTTACAATATATATTTGTTGGGACAATTCAGCAGTTGACAATAATGTTGAAATCTGCTCACCAATTCGTTTAATCAAGTATTGCATCAAATGCATATCAAAGGTGTCAGATGAAGCTGTTCTTGCACACACTTCCATTTAATTTTTCCCCTTGATTTAATTTAAATTTAAATTTGAACAATGGAATGACTCCTACCCAAAATATAGAAGTAGAAAGCCAGAAGATGGAGGTCACATCGGCAAGATCATTGAATAATATTGAAATGCATCCTTTTTCTAGATCAATTATAACAATGATTTAAAATCAATCATCATTTTCTTACAAAAATTGTGACATGCAGTAAGGCGAGGGTAATGTAGCTTGTACTATATTGTTATATACCGTACCTATGAACACTAATGTCCCAATCCTTATAAATACACTATTGTCAGTGGAGGCAATACGCTGTCTAAGTAGTCCACCACTAGCAGTGGTTTACCTACTTCACGACGCTGGCGAGTATTGTATTTTGTTGATGTTAGAAAGATTACCATTTCATTTCCAACCTCCGTTTTGGTTATTCCTCATTCAGTAACATTTTCTATGTTACAACATATATAAAACTCAGGGTCTCTTGTTATGGCAGTTATTTAAAAAAAATTTGGATGTTCGGATGGTGCAATGGTTAGAAGCTAGGAACGAGAAATCATTGAACTATGTTCGAATTCAGGTCGACGTCTTTACGTTGACGATCATTCTTTTTTTCGCGCAAAACTGCTAGGAAAGTTGATTCGCTGTCGTGCCAGACAATTCTTCTTGTCAGATTCGAGCTTCCGCATCCACTATTCGTTCATACGTTGAGTATTGCTGCCATGTCTGGCCTGGTGCTCCGACTAAATAAAGGGGTTGGACAAAATAATTAGAACAGTTGCAAAATCCACTCCTATATTTCAAAGACCTATTATATTAAGAACTTTAACTAAAACTTCGTAATTGCAGGTTATATCTATTGTAAATACGTTTATTTAACTAATTTACTGTCTTTGTCTTATTTATTTTTAGAATTTAGTAAAATTTAAGCTAAATGCGTGACCTCTCCGAGTTCGAAAAAAAGCAAATTGTTTGAGCTCGCATGGCAGCAGCCTCGATCACTAAGGTTGCTGAA